TCTGCTTGCTTCTTTTCCTAATTTAGAATCAATAAATCTGAGTAATAATCCTTTAAATGGAAATAATTTAAACTTGGCTGATTTGAACGAACAACAACTTTCCCTGTTAAAAAAATGAATCAAAGAAGGAAAAATTAAAATTAGTGATTGAAAAGGGAATGTGGCTCTTAATCTTTTACAACAATTAGTAGAGTCGAAAAAAAGGATTGTTGAGTTGGAAAAACAAATTAAAGAATTGCAGCAAAATCTAGAACAACGAGCCGAAATTGTTATAGAACGGCGTTAGTGAGATGTTTTTTTAAAATGCTGAAATCGGGGCGGCAGGGTGCCTGAAAATTGTCCTAAGAGACAAAAGTCTTTGATAGTTGCAAACTACCTTTCGTCCAACTCATAAGAGTTTGAAGAGGGGGGTTCTTGGCTAGGGAAGGTATAAAAAATTATAGGGGTAATGAAAAAAAGCTTAATATTTTTAGAATCGGCAACTAAAAAAAAGACTATTCAATCCTTTTTAGGCGAAGAATATGTGATATTTGCCACCGGCGGGCATTTATGGGAATTAAAAAAAACGGGAGTATATAATTTAGGAGTAGATTTAGAAAACTTTCAGCCCTCCTACGAGATAATTGCCGAAAAAAAAAATTTGATTGGTTTCTGAAAAAATTATTTGAGTAAAGAAAAAATTTTAACAATTTATCTAGCCACTGACCCCGACCGGGAAGGAGAAGCCATCGCCCAAGAAACCGCAAAATCATTAGGAATAGACCCCATTAAATGCCAGCGACTACTTTTTTATGAAATAACTCCTCGCAGTATTAAAGAAGCCTTAAGTAATCCCTTGACTATTAACCAGAATTTGGTCGAATCGCAACTTTCTCGCCAAGTATTAGACCGCATGATAGGTTTTTGTCTTAGTACTATTTTACAAAAAAAATTGCAAGCCCTATCGGCCGGTCGGGTTCAATCGGTAGTTTTGAAATTAATTATTGAACGGGAAGAATTGATTAAACAATTTGAAAAGAAAAAACTCTATATCCTTTGTGGTCTGTGCCAGGTCAACAAGCAAAAAATAACTCTCAAACAAGTAGATGAGACTGGCGAATTGATTATCTACAAAGAGAAAAGCGCGGCTGAAGAAATTAAAAAAAAATTGAGTTTAATTTTTCAACTAGCCGGCCAAAAAGAAGAAAAAAAGTTCATTCTCCCCAAGCCTCCCCTTATCACTTCTTTATTATTATTCGAAGCCAAATCGCAACTAGGATTTTCGGTGGCTCAAACCACGCAAATAGCCCAAAAATTATACGAGGGGATTTGAATAAGCAGCCAAAGAAAACAGGTTGGATTAATTACTTATCCCCGAACGGACGCTACTCGTATTAATCAGGAGTTCACAAGTTCAGCCTATCAATATATCAAAAAAAATTGAGGTTTTAATCATGTTAATACTAACCCGGCTTGGAAAAAAAAAGAAAAAACCCTTAATGTTCAGGGAGCCCACGAGTCCATTCATCCTACTTATTTGGATTACCAGCCCGAAGAAATTAAAAGTTCCTTAACGGAGGAAGAATACAAATTATATAAGTTGATATACAATCACACTCTTGCCAGTTTAATGAGTCCGGCCCAAATTAACAAAATTACTTGGCGATTTCTTAATAATCATTACCATTTTGCTACCA